TTTTATCTGAAACGATAGCCAACAGAGCAGCTCGGGAATCACCGAGTATGACAGCTCTTGAGAATTTTTCCAAGTGGCATGGTAGCTGGTACAGAGCTGTGCGAATTGTAGCAGTTTCACCGTCAAACGCAGATCTTTGGCTCACAGGAACATTGTCATGCAATAGAACCCATGACCTCTTCTTTCACATTCCAGGTAGTTCTTTTTCAGCCCAAAGGGGCAATTTGCCCACAAGGGCTATTAATTTCATTTTAGCATTGTGCGTCGGTTCACTTTTCAAATGGTTGCCACCAGCTATTAGAGCCCTGCTTTATAGTTAAGGAAATTAAATGATGAAGAATGTGCATGAAAGTTTGTGTATTTTTCTCACCGTGAAAGAGCAGTAGCTCGATATTTACTAATTCGGCCATTAACCGAATGCTGTGCTGAAGACATTTTTTGACAATTTCATAGACTTTTTGAGTGTTTCAAGCATGCCGTTACGCCAATTGTCTTCGGTCTCTTCATTTTTTAAATCGCTTGAACTAGTCAAAAACTAGAGAGCGAAATGAACAATCATTACCATAAGCTTTCTGTAAAAATTCGTAGGCTTCTTCAGCGGATTTAATTAATTTTTCAGTAGAATTTCATATTGCTTACAAATGAATACTTAGCTTGATTCTGACGGACTTCATAGCCATTTACCACTTTGAACTGGATGCAGTGACTTTGAAATAAAATGCAACCTTGGGTTCAGATATTCTGTCGAGATGGCCTCTACAGAGCTACTCTTAAACGCTGCTATCACACACCCGTTTCTTCGAAAGAACAACTGTTTGGAACAATTTTTCTGCTTTGTCACAATAGCCAGTCACCACAGATCGCTTTGGGGTTAACACAGGGAAAACTGGTTCTCCATTACAAACAAGCTGATAGCTGACTGGTTGCAAACGAATAACTTGCCTTTTTTTTCGAAAGGAAGGAAAAAATCGCGCGTCTTTCTTTCAATAGTAAACCAGGCAGAGAAATTGTCCGAAACAGTTGTTTGTGTGAAACAAATGCGTGTGTGATATGGACTCGACAGCGCGTCGAAAGAAGCATTTCACAGAACTTTTGTTTTCGGGATACCCGATTGGTTAACTTGACGCGGAAACCAGTTCTTTGGAGAAATCGTACGAGGGACCAAGTTCCAAGCGAAACATTTTCGTTTCAGTTTCAAAAAGTCCTGCTTGCGTAGCTAGATGGGACACCCATTTCAACGAAACATGTTTAAGCTAGGAGACCTTCAGTGGTAGGAGGAGATGCTCATTTTTTGGAAAAGTTTCTTCTAGCCCCGTGGGCCCTTACATGTGGGAACAACCCCATTAACAAGTTGACCACCGATTACCAGCGACGCGACCGATAGTAAAAATACATAATTAGAGCAAATATCGATAGATAATTAGAGTAATGATAAATTATTAAATAATGCCATTGTTACTATAATAGTTTGAAGAAAAATAAATCGCAAAAATTTAAATAGTAAATCACAAAAACGGTCTACAGCACCTCGGGAATCACCATTGATCTCCCCCTCCCCAACCATAAAAAATGCACTAAACGCGATTATATTTTATATAGCTCACCGTATCTTCTGTGGGTAAAATTTCAACATAATATACAGTGCATAGTAAAAAATTCATGTTGACGCCATGGACAAACCATATAAAATGAGCGCGGCAGTCAACATGTTAAAAGAGATGTTTAACTCCGAAATATCGCTTTCAGAGCTGGTCGCAAGTTCACTGTATTTTGTAGTTTTCAACGTCTCGAAGAAGGTATTACTGTTTTCACTGCGACGATTTAGTGCAACAGCAGCTGTTGCTTTAACACTTACGGAAAATTATTTTGCAAGCCTGGTGTACAAATGATCTAATGGAAAAACTGCACTAATAAATATAACTAAGTTTTTATTTTTTTAAATCTGTACAGGTATACTGTTCTTTAAACTGAGTTTTTTAATAGTTTGTACATGGTATTTATTTAGGTCGAAATGGTTATCGCATTAGATTTTGTTTTTCTAGCATTTAGTACTCCTACTTTTGAGAAGCTCGTAAGCCCAAAAGGGCTGATAGTTTTGAAACGAGATTTTGCGTCGTCCACTATAAACGGCGGATCGCTTTCCTAACTGTTGCCGCCAAATATTATCGTCCTGCATTATTTTTAAAGAAATTAAATAATGAAATATGTATATGTTCCTCACATTGTGAAAAATTGAGTACAAATTTTGAATAACGTAATCCTCCACCTGAACATGAGCATCCGGAAGCCCGAATTTTGATTTAGATTTTTCATATTTTATAAAACTTTTGATTTGGAACTTTTGACGATTTTTTTGATTAACAAACTCAACAATTCGAAAGCGAGCAGTGGCAACACTGTACGGAATAAAAAGTTTTTATCTCGAGTGCGCGAAACTGTTTTTTATCGGAAATTCTGAAGAAACGCTGTTTGTAAATATTTTGTGATTTTGCCGTTGAATCGAATTTTATGTGGCGTAAGTACAAAGAAAGTGATATGTAATAAATAATGTTATTGCACAAAACATTACTAATACACAAGCAAGAACAAAAGAAAAAGTTTTGTAAGCCATCTTGCTAATAAAACTGAAAATATACGAGTACAATATGATGAACTGAGAAAAGACTGAAAAAAATAGGAAAGTTGTATGCCATCATTTAACGCTGCATCAGGAATTTAACATATGCTGCTGTTAAAATTTTTGTAATTTTATTGCTGAACTGCAGAGTCGTAGCTAGGGTTTGCAGCGCCCAGGGACAACTGAAGATTTCGCGCCCCCTACTGCTTGCCAAGGATGGAAAACATTTAATTCTAAAATGTCGTAACATCAGTTTGGCGCCCCTTGGATTCTGCGCCCGGAGACAGATGCCTCCCTTTGCCCCCCTCTATCTACGCCCCTGCTGAACTGTATATTGCGCAAGAGCGAAGAAAATGGTGCTTAATAAAGCTAAAAAGACAAAACGAAATCGGTTAGCAGGTGTGAGGTTAACAGCAGACCGATAAACTGCGCGCTTAGCGAGAGCGCGAAAAAACTTACGAAGCCATTCTGGGCGACCATTATAATCTGAATCCATACAGATTTTTTAAGAATATTCTTTGTATCTCGAATTTCTCGGAGTTCATTTTAAAACTGATAAGCCTACGAGAATGGAGAAGCTTAACTTTAAACTAAATAAACTAAACTAAATTTTAGTAAATAAAATTTGAATACAAAAATCAGAATTTCACTTTTTTAAATGAACAAATTTTTAATATTTTTATTTTTGAAATTTATAATAAGAAGTATTAAATTGAAGTATTAGATTATAATCTGAAATTTTCAGATTGGAAGTTTTTTAATTTGATTTTTAATAAAACAAAGTATTAGGTAAGTTTATTATTATTGATAATGATTAAGTATTAAAGTATTATTAATTAAAAAATTCTTATTGTTAACAACAAATAAGTAAATTTATTATTAGCCCAGAAGGTTTATTAATTTCGTTTTGGCGTTTCACTTTTCAAATTGTTGCCACCAAATGTTATCACCTTATTTAAAGAAATTAAATAATGAAGAATCTGCATAATTGTATGTATGTTTCTGGCACTGTGATAAAAAAACGGTATCTAGAGCAATTAAATTTTAAATAACGTACGTCTCCACCCGAATATGGGCATCTGGAAGACCGAATTTGGAATTTATTTTATTATCTATTTCATATTTTGTAAAGCATTTATGAGTTTTTGATTAAGACAATCAACGATTTCAAAGCGAGCAGTGGCAACGTTTTTATAAAAAAACATTTTTATCTCCAGTGCGCGAATCTGAAATTCTAAAGATGTGCTCTTTTTAAATTATTTTGTGATATTGCTCTGGAATTGAATTTTATGTTTTGAGTGCGAAGAAGCTATATTTAGTAAGCAAAGTTAACACAAAAAACGTTAAAAAAAAAAAAAAAAAAAAAGCCCTTTGGGTGTAATATAAAATTTGAAAACTTTCAGATTTTTTTAATTTTAATTATTTTTTAGTAATTATTAATTTTCAGAAGGTAATGTATTATAGTCAAACTATTTATTTATTCCCTCCTGCAACCGGATTTATTGATATTTCCTTAAAAAAGGTTGGTACTTTTCCGTTTTGCCGGCGCAGGCGATAATGTTAATAATAAGTCGCCAATAATGGTGCAACTGATGTCAAACTGAAGATCCTCGCTGATAACCTTTTACGCCTCATTTTCAAAACAAGTAAAAGCTATTTCTTATCAGATTGATTGTTTCTTTCAATACTGGCATACAATTACATAGAATTTTTACCATATAGTTCAATTTTATGCCTTAAGGCCATTTGTGGTAATTAAGTCAATTAGGTTGCAATCACACTGCTCACTTGAAGGCGAAAATACAGACAAGGCAAAGCCAAGGGTTAAATTCATCCATTCTAATGAGAATGTACTAGCGAAGTAAAGCACTGCAGTTTTACATAATTTCTGAGTAAGCTATTCGTACGAATTGAAATAATTCTTTCATTTAAACTTGTATTCCAAATTAAGATTTAACTTGAAATGAATCTAGATAATGACTGAGAGAAATAGATTTTTGTAGCGTAGTTTTCGTGAGATGAGATCATTTGGGGTCACGTGATATGAACCGGCGAATCAAGATGTTGAACCATGAAAGTTTAGTAAATTCTCAAATTAATGACTTTTTACAAATTTATCGTCTTTATTTATTGGCTTTATACAAAATTTTAAACGATATTAAAATGATTATGCCTTCAAAATAAAAAATTCTTAAGAACTAACATTTGTTATGTGTAGACTGTATGTTGTCGACAATAAAGTCTGCTTGGCGAGATTTGGGCCGGCGAAACGGAAAAGTACCAAAAAGGGTTATCAATTAGAAGTATTACTGAACACTTTATTGTACTTTAAAAGTCTATCAACATGAAGCCTTTCAATGTTTACCTTTATCTCTTCTTGCAGGTATATATGACCAAATATGGCTACCTCCCACCGTCCGATCCTAGTTCAGAAAACCTGCGGACGGAGAACCAGCTTCGCCAAGCGATTGCCACTATGCAAAGATTCGGCAACCTGCCCCCGACCGGAGTAGTGGACGAAGCTACGCTACAGCTTATGCGCCGCAAAAGATGCGGTGTACCGGATATTCTTCTCGGCAATAATCCGTATCGTATTAGACGATACGCTATACAAGGGCAAAAATGGCCGAAGACCAATCTGACCTGGGGGTAAGTATTTGGGATAGCAATTTTATTTCGTTTAAAATCGATGTTCCTTTCGAAACAACATCGAATTCCCTCCAGCAAAGCCATCTTCATGCAAGTTGTTCAGACAGTTGTTCATTCCTGTGCAAGTATGTAGTTCGAGCTCTGGAAGATTCAATGGTCCTTGTCTCTTTTTATTTCATCGATGGTGTAATACCAATAATGTGCGCATTCATTCGCTATGAGGGTACAGTCATTATCTCACCGGATTGACATGCTTAATAAGACCGTCTTCTGGTGCCTTTGTAATATACTAAAAGTAACATTACAGACACAACATTCCCATGTGTTTTTGCGCAATCTCCTTTAAAACTTGTTATGAAAGCAAATAATTTATTTTTTTACTTCTTCTAGCATTTATTTAGAAACTAATAGAAATGTAAGCTAAGTTAGCAAAATAGCACATATTTATAGACATTTCCAAGAACTTTGCAAACCAGATTATGTCTTATAAGAACCATCATATGCATGGCGCTGCCAAAATCCAAAATGAAATACATTTGTAGAGGTATTAGGATTTTTTGAGGCCGGAGAGATGAAAAATATGCAACGCCTTTGCTGGGAATCGAACCACGGACCTCTGGAATATGCGCCTAGCGTGCAGACCACCATACCACGAAGGCATGCCAAGAAAGCGGGAGGAACATCTTATATACTGCCCCTTTTAAAGGGCGACTGGGGTTTTTTTATTATTATTTTAAGGATATTTAAAAATTAAAATAACTGTAAAAACTTAAAATAATCCCTACAAATGTAATTAATAATAGTTTGTTTTATAACGAAACGTAAGGTGTAATAAAATATGTCCGAATATTGAAAATTATTTAAAGACAAAAAAAATAAATAAAAATAAATAAATAATGCAATTTATTGATTAAAATATGAGGGAAAGAGAGGAACAATTGAACCAAAATATAGGCAGAAGTTCAAAATATAGGGCTTATAAAGTCATTATTTCAGCATATGAATATTATGGCATTTTTAATTGAGATAATATTTTCCGTGAAACATTTGTAAGCAGCCCATAAAAGTTATAAGTTTAACGCAGAAACGTTATAGCGGAATATTCAAGTTCTATAATTTTGCCTACTGATGGAGGGAAGATTCATTCTTCGAAAAATGTTCATACGGTATCTTGAGTTCAACGAATAGCCGTCAGAGAAATGAATCAGTTAAAGAACTGTCGATTGAAAAAACATCCGTGCTTTAAATTCCTTGACATTGGAGACGCATATATCTTAGCAACTCTAGTTGTATGACTCTTGATAACCGCAGTAATGACTTTAAAGTGTGGGAATTATGATTAGTTTTTTTAAAGATTCATTTCGCGTGAAAGTCATCGGTCGCTAACGTCGACACGAGTAGTGGGGGTTGGTCAAAAGCAACGCCCTCTGTCTGAAATCTTGATGGTACAGTATGTGTGTCTCGTATCCTATATCCATTTCTCTTTTTCGAACTCTGCAACGTCCTCTAAAGATGGCGAACGGAAATCCGATGAACACCCCCCTCCATGTGCAGACTAATGGATGTCCTCCCCCATACAACTCTTTGCTTGGGTTTCGGAGTACACAGACGAAGGCATATTTCGAAAGAAGTTCGGTGATTTATCACGTGACACATAAACCCTCAGATTGAAATGATTTCTGGGAATATTTTCCGAATTTGCTTTTATTATTTATTTCTGCTTTTGTTTAATTTTTGTAATTACCTATGTTAGAAACATTTTTAGTGACTGTTACGTTACACTACAATGCATTTAACCTCCATACAACTTGGCGAGAAATGTGAGATACTTTACATTGCTCTCAAATAACAGATTCTCAGACTGCTGCCATTTCACAAAGAATTTGATCTTAGATATATTTTCAAAATTTAATGAATCTGTAACTAGTTAAAAAAACTCTCCCGTTCTTCTGGGCGGATTGAAGAAATTCAAATTGTGTTTTTCATGTCTCGAAAGCGTGACTTAGGATATATATTAGATTTATATATAGCGTTGTTCCAATATAGGTATTTTGACAGAAAATCAGACTTTTCTGCAATGATATGCCATTTTTTTTTTTTTTTTTCGTATTTCGAATCTACGACTCAAATTATGCCTAAATATTAAATTTTGTCAAATTTGATGCGAAATTTATGGAGAAATTCAAAAATTTATCTTGGCGCATTTGTTTCAGTTTGCGCCAAGAATAATTCACTTGGCGAAATTCTTAATATATGGCAACCTATTTCCTTTCCATTTCTTGCATTGCGCATGAGCGGAAAAAAGTAACATCGTTACCTACTTTCATATAATTTTAGCGAAGTGCCTAAACCGAATTGATGTTATTATCGCTTTCAGCAAATATGCCGAATTTCAAAACGCGCCAATATATAAATTCACGTATATATTCGAAAATTTTGAATAAAATCACACTAATTTTTTGCAGGTATGCTTGGACAGAATCAAATATGTTTAATAAAAGAGATATTAATAAATATATACCAAATTCAATTAACATTGAGGAGTTAAAATTTTTTAGAGCTAATTCTTTTTAAAAACGTCTCGCACGATTTTTACAAAACTTGGCAGTTTGGCATAATTTGAGTCGTAGAATCGAAATATGGAAAAAAATTAGCATGCCATTTAAGAAAAATCCTGATTTTGTGTCAAAATACCTGTATTAGAACAGTGCTACCTGTATTAGAACAGTGTAAATCTGATATTTATCCTAAGTCGCGCTTTCGAGACATGAAAAACGCAAGTTGAATTTCGTCAATCGGCCTAGTAGAACGGGAAATATAGAACTTTTTTTTGGGGGGGGGTTGGGTGTGTGTGTGTGTGTGTGTGTGTGTGTGTGTGTGTGTGTAGTGTACCTTGCTGCACACAGGCTTCAGAAGTTGGAGATACGAGAAGCGGGGTGAGACCCTTGGACTGTCCAAAGGGTGTTCTTCCTCAAAAACTGGGACGAAACTGCCCAGTTTGTGCTACGACCTGTACGACCAATGGTGAAATTCTGGTGATCCGACTACTTGTTTGTGAATAACTTAAAGCCAAACTCGCCGCCCAGCTGGTATAATGGTTAGTGACGCTGACTGCCGTATGAATAGAAGAAGCCCGAAGAAGACAAGGATGTTTGTAAGCGTATTGTGTCTCTCCGGCACACCTCCACTGAAGAACGACACCTAATCTGCAGTTTCACCATTTAACTTTCCATGGAAACAATCTAAGGTACTCATATGATTCAAATATGATATTCAACAGGGAGTTCTCCTTCATCCTAAGTCATCACTATTTATGTGAGTGATGATTATCAACTACCAGTACCTTCAAACTGCCAAAGCGCAGTATCCAGTACTCTACACTCTGAAGCTCAGATATACGAACTATGAACTTTGAACTTTACATTATTATCTGATGCTCAGATTATACAAGTGCTCTCCATACTGCTGCGCACAATTCTGTGCACATTGAACTCTATGCAACAATGAACTGTGTGCAAAGTAAACTGTGCAAAATCTGTGCACAATCACCACAACGATACCACTAACACAAAAATAACATAACATTATAACTCACATCACACTCATCTTCCCAAATGCTAAAGTATTCCTCCAGGCACACCAACAGAATGTCAAACTGCAATACCTAATTAATTATAACATGTTGTCTCCATATTGATTCTTGTATACCAATATATCTGTACCTCTATTACCTGTACCCCAGTTTATCTGTATAATTGTTTTTCCTATGTAAATAACTTGTTACTTTAATGTAATTTATTATGTCAACTGCGTAATGTAATGACTTGAAATGTAATCTTTTGTCTAAATAAATGCCAGAAAACATTAGTGCAGTGGGGCAATACCATTTTTGTCAATGACGATGTCGTGGTGCCTCCTGCACTTTTTCCTGTCCTGTATCTCTGCGGCAAGGGAACAGTCAAAATAAACAGGAGATACAGAACTGCCCCCCCTTTTTTTTTGCTGCGCAAATTTAAATCTTTATTCTGTTTTTAATGAGGATCCAGTAAATATTCTTTTAAATATATTTAGTTTGTAATGCATCTACATTTATATGAGCATTTGTAGCATTATAATATTAAAATTGTTTCTGCTATAATGCTTGTTAATGTGCCTCGGTACAGAATCCTTTGGCTGGTTACTAAAAAGGTCTTCTTCATCCTCTCCCCTTTCTTTCGAGAACCCCAAAATGGGTAGTAAATGCGATCACTACTTCCGTTACTAAAACTGAATGTTCTAAGGGAAACTAAAATTTCACAGAATTTCTCATTATTCAATACACACGAAGAAAAACATATCACTTAATAAGATTAACGACAACTTCGCTTTGCAAAACAAACTCGCAAATCAACAGATGCTCGACTTTAATAATTCCTCCTTTCAGCGATTATCGTTTGACGGAAGGTTGACTTTTTTACAGTAGACAAACACAAACAGTGACGTCACGTCCATTCTCAGACAGGCCTTCTTTTCATAGAACGAAACGCCGACGTCGTAGTTATTTTTTACGGCGCATATTATTACAGGTTTTCAGCAAATGGCAACAGCTCTGGTGACAAACAGAAAGTCTTCTATGTCGCGGCCCAAGATTTGCAAAGACAGTTCTTGGTATACATAATAGAAGAAACGATTACTGTGGCTGGTTTACCACACAAAGAATAATGGAGCATTACAAGTAAGCGGATGTTAATGCATTAAAGAACAATAATACAGTGAACCCTCTCTAAGACGACAGTTAAAGGTTTCAGAGAATTTTGGTCTTCTGTGTAAATGGTCATTTTAAGAAGTTGATGTTCAATAATCTTTCACCCCTCCACCACAGTTCCCAAGATTATTGCTCCTTTTTAGCGGAGTATGGAACATTTAGCAAGTTATGAAATCGATTGAAACGTTACTAACCCTTTGTTGCATACAAATAATCTAGAGAAGTTAAAACGAAAATGTTTGTATTTTTCCTACTT